AGAGGTGAGGGAGACCCTTACAAATCAGTCAAGTCAAGAGTCATCATGGGTTGGATAACAATAATAATGGTTATAATTTTACAATGGAATGCTAGGAGTATATTGGCCAACGGACAGGAGTTTAAACATTTTATTAATGAGCTAGATGAGATACCAAATGTGGTGTGTATTCAGGAAACCTGGTTGAAACCAAATTTGGATTATGTGATACATGGATATGCGGTAGTTAGGAGAGATAGGAATTATGGAGAGGGTGGAGGAGGATGCGCAGTTTTCATTAAGATGGGAATTCCATATAGATTACTGGGGAATGGTGATGATCAGGAGGATATAATGGTGGAGGTGTGGGAAGGGAGAGAGGCTATTAGTATTATCAATTACTACAACCCCTGTAAGAAGTTGGAACTAGGTAAGCTACTAAGAATAGCAGGGCAAGACAGACAAAAAGTTATCTGGTGTGCAGATTTCAATGCCCATAGCTCAATATGGGGAAGTATACACACAGATGCAAATGGTAAGGTGATTGAAGAACTGATGGATGAAAGATAATTGGTCTGTTTGAATGATGGTAGAGGAATTAAAATAAATGTATTAACAGGGATTGAGTCAGCATTAGACATAACGTTAGTGTCTAATTCACTGGCTAGAAATAGTAATTGGGAGGTCTGGACAGCATCCACAGTGGGGAGTGATCACTACCCTGTCTTATGCTCAGTGGGTGGAAGATTGGAAGCGGGACCAGAAGATAGATTGCCTAAATGGAATTTTAGTCAAGCTGACTGGGACAATTTTAAGAAATGTAGCAATTATGCAATGATGAGGGTTGAGGTCTATGGGGACATAGATGACGTTAATAAACTGGTTACTTCTGCAATTATTAGGGCAGCAGAGGAAGCTGTCCCTAAGGGGAAAAAAAATGATAAGTCGAAAGATGATGCCATGGTGGAATGAAGAGTGTTATCGGGCGATAAGAGATAGAAATAAAGCTTTCAGGATACTTAAAAGAACTCATAATTTGCAACATTTTATTCAGTATAAGAAGGCTCAAGCAGTAGTAGATAGGAATTATGGAGAGGGTGGAGGAGGATGTGCAGTTTTCGTTAAGATGGGAATTCCATATAGATTACTGGGGAATGGTGATGATCAGGAGTATATAATGGTGGAGGTGTGGGAAGGGAGAGAGGCTATTAGTATTATCAATTACTACAACCCCTGTAAGAAGTTGGAACTAGGTAAGCTACTAAGAATAGCAGGGCAAGACAGACAAAAAGTTATCTGGTGTGCAGATTTCAATGCCCATAGCTCAATATGGGGAAGTATACACACAGATGCAAATGGTAAGGTGATTGAAGAACTGATGGATGAAAGAGAATTGGTCTGTTTGAATGATGGTAGAGGAACTAGAATAAATGTATTAACCGGGATTGAGTCAGCATTAGACATAACGTTAGTGTCTAATTCACTGGCTAGAAATAGTAATTGGGAGGTCTGGACAGCATCCACAGTGGGGAGTGATCACTACCCTGTCTTATGCTCAGTGGGTGGAAGATTGGAAGCGGGACCAGAAGATAGATTGCCTAAATGGAATTTTAGTCAAGCTGACTGGGACAATTTTAAGAAATGTAGCAATTATGCAATGATGAGGGTTGAGGTCTATGGGGACATAGATGACGTTAATAAACTGGTTACTTCTGCAATTATTAGGGCAGCAGAGGAAGCTGTCCCTAAGGGGAAAAAAAATGATAAGTCGAAAGATGATGCCATGGTGGAATGAAGAGTGTTATCGGGCGATAAGAGATAGAAATAAAGCTTTCAGGATACTTAAAAGAACTCATAATTTGCAACATTTTATTCAGTATAAGAAGGCTCAAGCAGTAGTTAGAAGAACAGTACGCCAAGTAAAGAGGACTAGCTGGAGGAAATTTTGTGACAAAATAGGAAGGAAGAAACTGGAAATGTATTGGATGATCCATTTACCTTAGCAGAGATGGTGAGAGCAATTAAAAGAGCAAAGCCTACAGCTCCAGGAAAAGATCAAGTCTGTTATTTAATGTTAAAGCAATTGGAGGAAAAGTCACTGTTGAAACTGCTGGAGATGTATAATAAAATATGGGAGGAGGGAAAATTACCAACTATCTGGAAAGAAGCAGTAGTGATTCCAATAAGGAAACCTGGTAAAGATCCTACAAAACCTATTAGTTACAGACCAATAGCTCTTACTTCAAATTTATGTCAAATCATGGAAAGGATGATAGCAGATAGATTGACCCATGACCTTGAAAAGAAAGGAGTATTGGATAACTGTCAGATTGGCTTTAGGAAGGGAAGAAATACAATAGATTCTGTGGTAAGATTAGAGACTGAAGTAAGGAAGGCACAAGTGAATAAAGAGAATGTAATAGCAGTATTTTTTGACATAGAAAAGGCCTATGATGATGTGGAAGGAGGGGTTACTGATCAAACTGAATAGGGTAGGGGTTGGAGGGAAGATGTTTAATTGGGTAAAGGATTTTCTTTTCGAAAGGAAAATACAAGTAAGAATTGGGACAGACATGTCAAATCAATATACAGCTGAAAATGGCACACCTCAAGGGAGTGTGATAAGTCCGTTACTCTTTATAATTATGATCAATGATGTATTTGGTAGAGTTCCAGAAGATATAGGAAGGTCGCTATTTGCAGATGATGGGGCATTGTGGAAGAGAGGTAGGAATATGGAATTTGCAAGCAGGAAAATGCAGGAAGCAATTGATAAAGTGGTTGAGTGGGGATATGATTGGGGGTTTAGGTTTTCTATAGAAAAGACACAGTCAGTCTTATTTACAAGGAAAAGAATTCCGGAATGAATGAAGTTACAAATGTATGGAAGAGACCTAGAGAGGGTTGGAAGTTTTAAATTTCTAGGAATTAATTTGGATTCACGATTAACATTTACAGATCATATCAGGAAAATGGAGGAAAAGTGCAAGAAGGTAATAAATGTAATGAGATGTTTGAGGGGAAGAGAGTGGGGTGCAAGCAGATTATCACTGAAAAGAATATATGTGGCTCTAATACGGTCAGTCTTAGATTATGGAAGTGTAGTATTTGGGTCGGCAGCTAAATCGCAGTTAAAAAAGTTAGATGTAGTCCAGGCACAGGCACTGAGAATATGTTGTGGAGCTTTTAAAACAACACCAGTGTCAGCCATACAGGTAGAAATGGGGGAATTGCCACTAGAGTTAAGAAGGAAGCAGTTGATGGCTAACTATTGGGCAGGGTTACAAGGGCATAATAATTCACATCCCACTAAGGCAGTATTGCAGGAGAGTTGGGAGAATGGGAAGAATCTAAAGGACAATTTTGGTCGGATTGGAAATGTTGTAGCTAAAGAATTAGAAGTGTTTCATTTGAGGATAAGTTCTAC